GTTTTCAGCCTTTCATCAAGTCGGATCAAGTAGGAGCACTTAAATGTGTTCATATACTTTTTGCTGGATGAACGAGACGACGTGGGCTTCTGAAGTCGGTCATTGAAGGCGACGTGGGTGACGTGGGGTTCGGTCTTTTTCCCTCCTGTCCCTCGAGACAGTACAGAATCTTACACACAGTCGTCGCGAGCATGCGATGTCGGCGCGGAATGTCAGCATTGTCCTGCAATCGCTAGGTTAGATCTATGATAAAATCCCAACAAGAGAAATTAAGAAAGAGAGAAAAAAGAGATCTTTTCTGACCGTTTTATTGGAGGTTATCGCTAGTCCCTATTAGCGACATGGTAGCTAGAGCGCAGCGACGCATCAAGCTGTACTGGTCGATGTTCTCTCCTCTGTATCACATATACAATCTGCTTATCATCAAAGCTCTTAGAGTATAAAAATCCTTCAATCATGAAACGATTCTTCATTATGTTAGGATTTCCCTAGGTGCTGACATCTACGCAATACGAGTGAGTCTCGGTCGTCGTTCGGTAGATTTCATCAGCACCTCCTGTAACCGGTAAAATCTTTCGCAAATGCACTGTTTAACATCAGCTGGTCGATCGAATCTCATTATTGCCATTTAATTGGACAGACTAGTCTCGCATTTGTCTTTAAGCCGTTAACAATGAGGATAATTAAAATCGACGCACTTTCACCACATAAAAGGAATGGTTGCTCACCGTCGACAGTTCGATTCCGAACACTTGTCCGGGATGTTCGTCTACGCTCTGTGCGTCCTCGTTCTTCTCAACGTTCTCACCCAGGAGACGACGGCATATAAGATTGTTTGTTTTTGCAGAATCAAAACGCATATTCCCGTGAATATCAAGTCCCTAACCACTATTCTCTTTACTTCCAGAACTGCGTGGACGAGGTGGGCACTGACTACAAGGCTAAAAAAGCAGCTGGTGCCTGCGAAGGTGACAATGATTTCACAATGGGATGGCGCTGCCCTAAAACGTGTGGATATTGCACACCGGACGAGTGAGCGTTGGAGATCGAGCCCAACAGATTCTGAAAATTTCTCTGATGTTGTTCTGAGTTTTCTTTGTTCTGCTTGAAAAGAAACTTCCAACATGCATAAACATATGGCAACCAAGTTCTGACTGCAAGTGATAAGTACGTAGTCTGCACAATAGAGTAGCGAAACTAGAGAGAAATTCTCAATTTCAGTGAGAACTGGTGGGCTCAACACGTCGATCAGTTAGGGTGGACAGTACATAGTTCACCAACGCGTGTAAAATATAGTTAAGCGATTGCTCTTGCGGTTTCTAGTAAAATTCTGTCGGTTGGGGAATGGGGTATGTGATCGCTCGATCGATCTTATGAAGTCGTTAATTTTCTTTTTTTTTTAAATATTTGAGAATTGCATTGACAGGTTCAATCATTTACTGGACCTGTCAGTTGGAAATTCCATAG